TGGATCCACATTTTGGAGGAAAACTTTATAGTAGTTATTAATTCTCATGTTTTGTGGTATGTTGGTTGATGCTTTCAGTCCCTTCCAAATCTGAGAAACCGCAGCCCCCATTCACAAGCTCCGCACTGGTCAGCAGTACATTCACTTGGCCAGAAGGTGGTAGTGGAACAACAGAATATCACAGACGTCTCAGAAACTGAGCCCCCACTAGCCTATGCTATTGCTCACCACTCACTTGCTATGTTGGTATAGTTCCAGCTGGGAGGAGACTTCTTTAAGAATCCGATCAAAGCTATGGGAAAAATATACACACAAAAACATGAACACAATTGTAAGCAGTCCACGGACTTTGAAATTAAACTGGATGGTCAAGGTTAAGGATAGGTTACTAATTCCTCGTATCAAACGTATGAAGCCTTTACAATTCCCAGCTCCCTGCTTACCAACAGCTGTACCTATCAACTGGGACCCTATCATTCTGTTTTGGGAAAACAGAGTAAATCTTATTCCAAAGCTTCCAGTTTATCTGTATGTCATTTTCCTATCATCTACTTGGAGTGGATGGCCTTCCTTTTCACTGACGGTCAAATCCTTCACCATTGTTCATGATTCATTCTGCCTGGCCTCTGCCAAGTTTATGCTTTCTTTATGCTTTCATATGCTAATTTTATAATAACTCCATTTTTTCTCACTGTTAAAGTACTGTATGGCTTTTATTTTTAAGCATACAGAAGAGCAAAGTATATAACACAAAATTCTCATAAACACATAGTTTCTTCCACAGAGTATCCAAGGAGATATACATATATACATCTATGTGTGTTTTCCGTGTTTACAAAAATATGAGCATGTTATGCAAACTGTTTTATGACCTGACTACTCAGTTCACTACAACTTTATAATCTTGTCACCTTTCATTTGCAGATGTGATTCTTCACAAGTAATGTCTATGTGAATCATCTAGAAAGATTTTCCAGCATATACTTAGCTGACCATCATTCTGGACATTCTGATTTATTGGATCTCTCATTAAACTTGAAATGTGTATGAAATCCCTATCTATGACTCTGAAATCTAATGCTAGAAATATAATTTTTAATCAATTTCATTCTTATAGTTTACATATGATAAAACCCACATGCCCTAAGGTATGTAATATGTAGAGTTTCTACAGATTGGGTGTATTCTGTAACCACCAAAATAGTCAAAATATAAACCATTTCTATTACTTCCCAAAATACCCTCATTCCCCTTGCTAATGAATCTTCTACCCCATCCCCAGGCCCAGGTAACAACTAGTCTATTTCACTATAGATTAGAATCGCTGTTTCAGAGGTCCATTTGCAGGTAATTGCAGGTAGACAGTACATTCTTGTGTGTCCACTACCTTATCATAGTTTTTCAGATTTAACTGTGTTGTTGTATGTACTGACAGTATGTTCCCTTTTATTACTGAGTTTATACTGCAGTATCCTGTGGTGCTGTAGTACTATATTCCATTCAGTGATTTATGGCCATTCTGTGTTTCCAGGCTTTGATCGTTACACAAAAAGCTGCTATGAACACTCAAACATGAGTCCTTCTATAGATATTCTTGTGTGTATGCTTTCATTTCTCTAAGTAAATTAAAATGCCAGTATCATGTGATTGTGCTCTCTTTACTATTTACTAGTTGTGCAGTCTTGAGAGAGCTGACTTTCCCTCTCTGAACTTCAGTTGTAAAGTGAGATTAGCAACCCAGAATTTTAAGCCGTTGAACTTCCTCCAAGGTTCTCTGTGATAGGCAATTGTTAGAGAGTGTTTAATAGTTTAAAAGAAAAGAACTTGGCTTTTTATGAACTCAGAAAATTAGTATGATAACATTTTTTATAAGAAGGCATACTTTAATTTAGCAACAAAAACATTACTGAATAATTAAATCCCTAATATGAGAATAAAAAGGGTCAGGAAGGGACCAGTTAGGGGTGTTAAGGCATATGGTCAACCTGGTGGTGTATGACACTAGGCTCAGCCACTCGCCTGATGATCCTTTTGTGACTCTGTAGGCTCAAGTACCTACCTGTCTCTTGCTCACCTCACACAAGTTAGACAGCAGTAGGGCTCTCAGCCTACTTCCTTGGCAGAATCACTGGGTGTTTTCTACTGTTTACACTCTCCCTTCAACCTATAATAGAATACCAGAACATTTTTCTCTCTCATCAAAGTAAACTTAGTACTCACTGGCCAATCTTTTCACCACCTCTCCCTCCTGCGAGGATTGGCTTTCTACTACATGGTTTAGTAGAGTTATGGAAAATATCCAGAATTCAAGCCAAGAGCATCTTGTTGCTAAAGAGAATTGATGAGCAGAATTCAAAAACTGCACAAATATACAAAAGTAATTGCATTTTGTACTGCACAAACCAGGGTTCCATCTCAGCTTCTGCTGTGTTACTTCTGTGCTACTTTTAAGGGTACAGGAGACCACCATAGACTCAGAGATGCAGTGCACTTTCCCTTTGTCTGGTAGCTATCAACCCTCTGTTCCTTGCTGACTACCTTAACTGTCACATGGGACAACCTTCTATCTTTCATTGTCCTTGTTGTTACCAAAGAGAGGCACACGGTTTTACTCAAGAAGTTTTATTGCATATCACAACAGAGATGTAGGGACAGTTAACATGGATTTATAAAAGCGACTGAAATGCCAAAAGTCATGGTGCCTCGCTATATTTCTTGATTCTCATGAAAATGACTTAGCTGCTCAGTAACTATGAGCTCCATTATATTATGAGTCTACATTTCAGTCATTTGGATACTTTGAACTCAGTAATAGCTTAATCTTGCATCAATATTATCATTTCAAACAGTTTTTGTCCACCATAAGGCCAAGTCTGACTTCGGTTCTGGAAAGTTCTTATGGAATGCTTTCACTGCAAGTATCTCTGCAAATATTATCCCTACTTCATTCTCTTTTTCCTTTTCTTCTTAGGGCAAAATTTAACTCAAATAAAACTTGTCCCAGAATCTTCTATGAATCTTAGCTTCCATCCTTAGGAGTTTTGTTAAATTTCATTTTGAGAATTTCTTTTTGCCTATTTTTCTCTTTACATATTTTCTCCTGAGCTGTGCTTAATACGCTATTCAACATATCCACCAAATTTGTCTTTGTGTGAGTTAAGCATAACATTACATTTACCAGAAGCAACATTTAGTGTATTCATACTCTTAGGCAATCACTACCACTTCCTAGTTCTAGAACATTTTCATTGCCAAAATGGAAACTCTGTATTTATTAAAGTTATTTTTCTTAATCTCCCTTCCCCCAGGCCTTGGCAACCACGAGTCAACTTCCTATTTCTGTGACTCTTCCTACTCTTGGGAATCAGACATTATATGGCTTTTTGAGTCTAGTTCATTTCACTTAGCAGAAGGTTGTCAAAGTCTATCTACCTTATATCCTTATTTCCATCCACTGAGTTAACTTTGGTTGTTGTATTTTTCAGTCCTACAGTATATTTGCTTATTTTTCAATCTGCTAAATCATTTTATAGTCTCCAATACTCTTCCAATTGTTCTGTCTTTTGTCTCCCAATCATTTCAACACTTATTACCCTTATGTTGTTTTCTCTTCTTTCCTTTTTACTTTTTTCTTTCCTTCCCTTCCATAGCCTACTTAAAATTTGACTGGTTCTCATTCGTGTTTACAATGAAATGTGCAATGAAACTTTTTAATCTGGTCCATTTAATGTTTATGTAGCAATGTCAAAGGCTATTGCTCTTTATTAATCAAATAAGAGAGCTGAACTGAGTCATCTGTAATCACCACTCCAGCTCTATCTTTATGATTCTTTCAGAGGTCTTGTCATGCTAGGATGTAAAATCATACCTGAATATACGAAGACAGAAAATGCACACTGCCGTAAGTATGCAGCATCCTGTTCCTGTGCTTCACACATAGATTTGCATTCAAGACAAGAAACAAATATTAAGGTTAAAAAGCAAAAATAGACAACAAAAGAAAGAAAGACAGAGAAGGAGGAGAGAGCGAGAGAAGGAAGAAAGGAAGAAAAGGAAAGAGACAAAGAAAGGGAGAGAGGAAGGAAGGAAAGAAGGAAGGATGGATGAAAGAGAAAGAAAGAAAGAAAGAAAGAAAGAAAGAAAGACGGAAAGGAAGGGAAGGAAAGAAGGAAAGAAGGATGGGAGAGAGAGAAAGGCAAGAAAGCACAGCACTGATCATCTCATTTTGGAGGGGAGGCTGAAAGCCAGGCTCTGCCATCTTGTATTCCAGATCCTCAAGACCTGAGAAAGGTCTGCTTCCCCGCATCAATAATTGGGATTAGTCCTCTGCAGTGCACAATCGGCACTGGACTTCGATACTTACAACTTAACAATAGTGGTTTGGGGCCTAACTAAAAGACACTAAATTCCAGAACAAGATCCAGGATTTGGTAAACAGTGGGCGGGACCATGTAATGAGGGGCTCCTGCTATGACTGACAGGGGAGTTTTCTCCGGGGAGAAAGAACACTCACAGAGGCTCATAGAGTTGTTTGAGGGGAAGGAGAACCCACGTTTTTTGCACCTCTGGATACTCGAGAGAATGTCGGGTTGGGGCAGATGCGTCGCCCTTCCGAAGCAGGACTCCAGTTGTCTGCGCAATAGACATCACCCTCCTGAGAGTCTTGATTTCTGAACCAGGGAAGAGATCAAAGTGAACCTCAAGTCAGTTTTGAGGCTCATGAAGAAAAAACAGAAGAGATTGCTGTAGCAAGCTGGGGCAGTAAGCACGGAGAGCCAAAAAGAGAGCAAACAAACTTAACTACCTCCTTTGCTGGATTTGCCGGCGCTGCCCAAGGGCTCAGTTCCCTATTCAGGGTAGACATGGGCGGGCCGTGAGAGCTCTTCACCAACCAGGGACACAAAAAACGATCCAGAGGCACTGATTGGTTCAGCCACTCGTCGCGTTCCTCCTGGGCCAAGACCCGTGATTCGCTGAGGCGTTACCGTGGTGACAGGTCACGCCGTAGTGCCAGGGGAAAGCTTGGTGGCTGCTAGGCAACGAGAAACAGCCCCAAGCTAGCTGACTTTCTACTACACTCACAGAAGCATTGCTTAGTTTCCGGAGACCCCTCTGCCACGGTTGCTCCTGTCCGAAGTGGTGAGTCCAGTGATGCCGAGCCTTGGGGGCAGGGCTCCAACTTCTGGGCCAGAAGCATAACATGGTTTATCAAGCACACAAGGAAGGGCTCAGAGAGGCAGAGAAATTCAGTGGAAAAGTATTTCAGTGATTGCCTGTTATGCACTTATCATTGCAGAAGTGTGGGAAGGGAGGAATAGCGATATCAAGAGACTGGTATAAGATATTTGCACGGTCAGATCTAGTCCTGCGCTATTCAACATGGCAGCCGCTAGACTGCGTTGTGCTCTAAATGAGAGGTTCACATTGGATTTCAGAGGGCATAGTGCCAAAAAAAAAGCAGTAATAATTTTTATACTGACTATGTACTGAAATAAAATTTTGATTATATTAGAGACATACAATTAAAACTAATAGTGTCATCTGTCTTCTCCTTTTCCTTCTTAGTAACTGGTTACTTGGAAAATTAAAACTACATAGGAGACTCTCAATTTTCTTGACCAGCACTGAGCTAAACTGGGAGTGAGAATGTGTGTGGTAGTGAATACAAGATCTTTACAACAGGGTCATAGTTTTAGTGTTTTAGGACTTTGCATCTCAAAGTGCACAAGTCAGAATCTGAATTTTAACAGACTCTTCAAGTTTCTCACTTTCCTTTTGCTTATCTTGTCCTTTCCAGGAATAAAGATGGCTTACCACACTATAGAGAGTGAAATGGACCTGAGGAGTCTTGCAGATACTTCACGAAATCCTAGTGTTTCAAAACTGAGTACTGCAACGTCCAAGGGAAGAATAAGTTATATTACACCCACAGAGCATGACTCTGATAAACAAATCCTGACATTTAGACACACCACAAAAGCTCAGGAGAGGACAAGAAAAAGACAACAGCCTGTAAAACTAGAGCCTCTGGTAAGTTAAAAAATAGTACTGGTCTGTTTTGCTTATACAGAGGAAATTACAGCGTTGCTTTATTATTTCCAGACCGTTAACTAACAAAGAAAAGATGGAAAGTTTTAAAGTTAAAAATGTGTTTATGAAATGTAAACACCGTAAATATTTACTCAACAGAAGTTTCTGGATCTGTTTAAATTGGGGAATAAAGTGGTGAGCCATTTTGTGCAGGTAAATTTTGTCTAGGATTATGCACAATACAGAAACTTAATCTATCTAAATTAGGAGGCTCTCTTGCCTATTGAGACACCAATTTTTATTGTGAATATTAGTTATACAGATAGTGGATTTCCTTTTCGGAGGACTCATCCATGCATGTGACATATTTTGATGATTTGACCTCCCATGCATTACTGGCCTGACCTTCCCTCTCTCATCACCCACATTCCCTTTCTCTGCTCTAACAGTCCCTAGAAAATATTTAATACCTAAAACTCCAGGGAAAGTAATCTTTATGTGTGCCCGATAATGCTTAATTTTCAGAAAGTTTTTGTGCACTTGGACAAATGTAAATGCATGTAAAGGACCAGTTAATTAGTATAAAGTAAAAATTGAAGTTCTCATCTCCCGCTGTCAGATATTTACTCTTTTTTAAAAATCTTTTTCTTTGGGGGGGGGGGTCTTTTTGAGACAGGGTCTCTTTACGCAGTTCAGTCTGGCCTTGAGCTCACTTTCTAGCCTAGGCTGGTCTTGAACTCACAACAATCCTCCTGCCTCAGCCTCCCGAGTGTTGGAATTACAGGTGTGAGCCACCATGCCCGGCTGAGATATTTACTCTTACTAAATCTTACTTAAGTGGTTGTGTGCACTTCAAACCATTTTGTATTTTTTCAAACAGATTTGCATATATGAATGTGTGAAAATATGTATGATTTTAAAGTAAGATTGCACAAGTCACAATGATTGTATTAGTCAGCTTTCCTATTGATACTCACAATTTAAAGGAAGAGAAGCTTATCTGGCTCAAGGTTTTGGAGGTTTAGTCCATGGCTTGTTGGCAAAAGGCCAGAGTGAATGGAGCACAGCTCTTACTTCATGATGGCCTGGAAACAGAACAGGGGAATAGCAGTAGAAAGGAAAAGGCCAGGGTCAGATACAGACCCCAAGGTCATGCCTCCATGAGGCACCCAGATATGAGCAAGAGCGTGTTTTACTAATCTCCTAGGTCCCAAGCCATTTAGGTCCACAATTAAACTTGTAACTTCAGACTGATTTTTACAGTGCTTCCTTTACCTAAATGTATAGAAATTATTCCAGTCCATGCCTATGGAGGAATTTTTTTCTAACAGTTATACTGTATTTTGTTACTTGGATGTGTACCCATTACTTGGTCTTCTATTCATGAGAATTCAGTTTAATTATATTTTTGTGCTGTTATTTTGCTACTACAGGTAATGCTGCACTGAATAACCTTGTCTTTGTACATATAAAGATGGTTTTGTAGTGATGATATTTTTATAGGTCATAGAATATGCACATTTTTAATTCTGAAAAGTATTGCCCAATTGTCCTCCAGAAAAGTGTGACCAGTTTTTCCACCTATTGCATAAAACAGAGTCTTTTAATCCATACCATTGCTAAAGCAGCTGCTCTCGATTCCTTTGTTTCTGCCAGGCTAGCAGAATAAAATGACATAACATTATTGTTGAAATTTGCACCTCATTCTCATGATTAATTCTCATGATTAAAATAAATGTTGAATTGTATCAAATGCCCTTTGTATATCTATGAAGAATATCACGTGACTGTTTCCACAAGTCACGTTTAACACTTTTCTTTTTTCTTCTTTTTTTTTTGTAGATTATTTCATCCTTAGTGATACTTAGGTAATATGCTATAGTAAGGTACCAAGTTTTTTGTAAAATTAATTCTCATTTTATTGTTTCATTCGTTATTTTGAAAGGATTCTCCTCCTCAATTTCTTTGTATTTCTAGGACAGGAAAAAGTGAATGAATCATTTGTTTATTTTTTAACCAAAAATCTCACTAATATTTTGGACTCATATTTAGTGCTGAGCATTTATTTTCAAGCTATATAGTAAGCAAATTCATTACCAGATAGTTTTTCCTTTAGTTCAAGTCTTTATACCAGTTTGTTTTCTAAATTAGAGTTCAGTAAACTATGGTTCATGGATCAAATCCAATTCTGTAGTAAACCCCTTTTGCAAACACTGTTTTATTAGAACACCACCACACTCATTTGTTTACATATTGTCTAAAACTTTGAGTAATAGGAACTATATGATGCACAGCCCCTAAATTATTTATGGCCTAGCCCTTTATAGGAAAAATTTTGACTATGTTTTAGAAGTTCAAAAAAAAAAAAAAAAGAACTGAAAAGTAAGATGATAATGAAAATAATAATCTTGGTCTTGATTTTAATAATGGTCAGGGTTTTACAATATAGGTCAATTAATATTTTCCAAATCATTTATATTATATTAATAAATTCACTCCTATTCCTATCTTAGGAAAAGTTCAAATACAAAAAGTTGCAAAGAAAAATATAACAAAATTAATAATGTTAGATGTTTCTCACTTTGCTTTAATATGTATTTTTAAAAGAATACAGTGTTGTGCACATACTTCAGATACTTTTTATAGCTATCCAGGTATGAGTCACACTACATGATATATGTGAATTAATCCCATTTTTTTGTATTCTTGCCACTTTCTTTTAAAAGTTCGATTTCTTTCAACATTTTATTATGAAAAGTTTCAAGTATTCAGAAGTATTAAAATAATATTAATACAGCAAATACTTATATTCTCTCTACTTACAACATTCAAACATTGTTAATGGCTTATCATCTTTGTTTTATGTTTTTCTGTATACATCTATACAGCTACTTGTTATTTAAATTGTAAACATTATAATACATAGCTTTCAAAGTCTTTGGCATGAATAAGAACAGTTCCTTGAATAGTATAATGATATGATCACATCTAAAAAATTTGATAATGGTGTTATCATCTAAAATCTAATCCACACTGATATTTCTCTAATTTCTTAGAATGTTTTTTAATTAGCAACTTTTCTATCCATAGCAAGAATCTAATAGTAATTAAGCTGCTGCATGTTTTAGTTGTATTTTTATTCTCTTTTAATCTAAAAGTCTTTAATAACTTATTTTTTGATAGCTTTGACTGAAGAGTCCAGAACTGTTTTGTAATATATTGCACATGCTGAATACGTCTGATTGTTCACTGTGTTATCTGATGTGTTTCTCTATCTCCTATAAGTCTACAGCCTTCATTAGAGTAAAAGAGGTTTTTCTGTCTTTTCTGCCATAAAGTCATGGGTTTCATTTATTTAATAAATTTTAAATCAAATATAGATTTTTGATATTTAAATTGCCCCATGCACTTTTTAGTTAACATTCTTCTGTAGAAAACAGCTGCATTTCCTCACTTAAATTCTTTAAAATGCCAGTCTGAATTTATAGCTTTTAAAAAATTCACTGTTGAGTCAAGTGGTGTAAGTAAGTGATATAGTTCAGTGGTGTAAGTGCCTGCCTGGCAAGCACAAGGTCGTGAGTACCAAAAAATAATTCACTGTTTTTCTCCATTAGTGTAATTTTTCATGTTGATGTCTGAATTCATCCTTAAATTCCTATCTCTTTTTGCCTTATCATCAACAGCGTTTGAGTACTTTCTTGCTTCTGGCCCTGAAAAACATTCAAGGTTTACTTTGTAATTTCCATGTTTTGACTGTAGGGTTAGGCATCTTTTTTAATGGGAAAGGACCTGTGGAACCCAAGATATGGCTACCATGTGTGTATTACTACTTGCCATAGATTTAGATCTTTAAAAAGACACAGAGTTACCATGTGTACATGTGTTTTTGATTTTTTAAATCTAGAATTCATACTAACTGACTCATTCCATTCTAAAGCCTATGACTTTTTCTTGACCTCTTTGTCTTCTATATTTGTCTGTCTCTTCTCAGTGAACAGTGCGGCTCTTGCTGTCCCTTTCATTGCCATGTTTTATAAACGCATAGAACATATTTTGATCATATGTATCCTCTTCCCCTTCTCCTGATCCCCTTCTTCTTGTCTAATAGGCTTCCACCTTATTTTCTAGATTCTACGTATGAGGGAAAACATGTGACACTTGTCTTTGTGAATCTGGATTAGTTTGCTTAGCAGAATGATATCTACTTCCATCCATTTTCCTGCAAATGACATGATTCAGTTCTTTATGACTGAATAATACTTCATTATGGATATGTACCACATTCTCTTTGCTGAACCCAAATAGGCACCTGGGCTGGTTCTACATAACGTAGCTATAGTGAATTTGAAAGCACAATTCTTCGCAACACCAATATAGTTACTCATTTTTATAGAAATGCATGAAAATACTTTGAAATTACCACATCAGTACCATTAGAATAACAGACCTACCTGGTAAAACTCAACCTTTTTTTGGAGTCATAATTTAAAAAGCTTTTCTCTTTTTCCAAATTATAAAACAGTTCACCTTTGTTTTCTTTTAATACTTTTGTGGTATTGATTTCTACATCTGTGTTTCTCTTTCATTTGGTAAATCCTCACAAATGAGTCGAAATTTACCTTTCCACAAAAGTTTTTTCTAGCTATTCCATCACCATTTATTTCAAACAGTACCTCAGCTGTTTCTACACTGTTTATGAAAAGCAATACCTGTTTTTCAATTATACTTAGGCAAAGAACAATTATAAAGCCTGAATGAGAAACATTAAGACCTATTGACTGGTCTTTCATACTCCTGGAAGGCAAGAATCCAAATGGGTAGGAATACAATTTTTCCCTAGTTGATCCCATTTTAATCAGGCTCCCAAAGACTGTTTCTTGGATTTTGACAGCATTATCCTCAAACATATGTTGAAGAACAAAGCTATAAAAGTGACTTACACAATCTTGAAAAGTTATAGAAATGTAGTTATTTGCCCAACTTAGTACAAAGGTTTTCAATTCAGTTTTTGTAATCAAGACAGTGTATGATAATCAGTTTCAGAGGAGACCAAAAAAATAGCGTAAAGAGCTGAGAAAAAAACACACAGCAAAATACAAAGTTTATATTTTTAAGAGTTAATATCAAACTTCAGTGGAGGACAGAGTGAATTATTTAATGAATGGTGTTGTAACAACTGATTTATGTGTAACGAAAAAAAGAGTTTCACCTCCACAATACTAAAAACTAAATTCCAGACAGAGTAAAGAAAATGTAGAAAAGAATATTTTTCTGAATTCAGGTTAGGAAAGATTTGTTGAATGAAGTAGATTTCTGAGCAAAACATATTCCTGGAATAAGGAAGGTTGTTTTATTATAAATGAGTCAATAGTAAGGAGACATAGCGATCTAAAAAATGTATAGGCTTTGGTGCCACTAATATTTTGAGCCAGATAATTGTGTACTGTGGGGACTACGCTGAACAGTGTAACTTGTTTAACAGCAACCCTGACCTTTGCCTATCAGATGTCAGTAACATAACCTCTAACTGGAAGAACCAATAATGTCTTTTTTTTTTCAAAAAGCAAAACAGAAAAAAAGGATAGAAATGACGCAGAATTCAAAAAAAAGATAGGAAATTAATGTTAGTTAATATATTGCATATTGTTATCTTAGAAGTAGTTGTTCAGGTTACAAGTTCTAGGCATAAATATGATCAAACAAACAATGACAGCACAAACTGTTCTTTTTGATGAACTAACAGATTAGTAGTATAGTTATCTATATATATATACCTACAAATAATGTCTTTGGACATAACAAAGTACTCTTGAGTAGAAGGTAAAATTGTCCTGCTTTAAAAACCACTGCTTTAGATAAATCAGTGATTTTTTTCTGTCACCCACAGACTGTCCCTAATCTTTTATTGTTGTACTCTATGTACCTTATCAGAGCATATAGACATCGCATGCCATGTATATAACTATCTGCACATTTACCACCATTTTTATTATAAAATACACGTAACCATTTTATTTTTAATGTATTTTTTAACATAACCTTGTTTTTTGTTTTTGTTTTTGTTTTTGTTTTTGTTTTTTAGTACCAGAGATTGAACTCACAACCTCGCACTTGCCAAGCAGGTGCTTATACTGCTGAGCTACATCCTGGGCCCCATGTAAACATTTTAAGTGTATATTCAGCAGCATTAAGTACATTCACAGTGTTGTGCAATCATAGCGTCTATTTCTGGAACTTTTCTGCTACCTCCCATCCATTTTACTGCTTGAATCTCTGTAGTCATTTTAGTTATCTGGTATTCTGTAGTAGCTTCTCCTAAGGGCACAATCTTCCCTGCATTCTTGAATATTCATCGCACTGTGTTTACAGCTTTTATACTTGAATTCCTGTTTGGGTGGATACAGAATCCTTGAATCAAAATGTTCTTCCTTTGAGTATCATAAACATGTATTCCATTTTCTTCAGATTTAAACCGCTGCTCACTGGGTTTAATGACAACCAGACTTCTCTGTAAGTGCCTTGATCCTTCTCACCAGGATCCTCATTTCCCCCGTTTCTTCAAGCATCTTTACCAGAATGAGTGTCGGTGCAGGTCATTCTGGGTTCCTGTCCCACATACTTGGTGTTTCTTTTTAATAGTAAAAACAAAGTCTTTTTTCTTATCTGCAAAGCCTTTTTTCTCTTCTTTTCTGAGTTTTTCTAAGTCCAATTTCATTTTCTTTTTTATAGTGTCTCATATTTTTAGCTCACTTTGATTTTTAGTTTTTTTCTGTAGTGTGTGTAAGTTCAGTACTTTCCTAGTGTATGTAGGGCTACTGTTCTGTTCCTTATTCTCTTCTTTTCCTTAAGATAACTTCAGTGTGAGAGCTAACTATAGGCCTTTTCTGTCCCTATTACATCGATAAAGTGATGCTAATTTTTCATTATTATTATTATTATTATTATTATTATTATTATTTTGGTACTAGGACTCAAATTTACAACCTTAAGCTTGCTAGGCAGGTACTGTGCCACTGAGCTATATCCCTGACCCCTCAGTACCTTTATTGAGCGAGGAGAGTGACTGAGTAGTTTTCAAATCTAAAACTTCATCTGGGTTTTTTTTGTTTTTACTGATTAGAAATATGGCTGTACTTTCTGAGGTCTCCTTTTTGTGCTTTCTTACCCCGCTTTCATCTGGACTTTCTCTTCTCTTTACCCATATCTTATCTGTCTCCCACAGTTAGCATTAGATTCGCTGAATCTATTTTCTCATATGGCACTTTGTCCTAGGATGGACCTTTCTTCAGCTGATTTTTAAGACCCATGCTGCTTGCATACCTTCAGTCTACCTCAGTAACCTATGGATTAGAATTTTAAAAGTTCAGCCCTCTTCCCACTGCTTTTCTGTTTCTTCCCATACCTACCGCTGAGTATCTGTTGGAGACATTGGGGTTCCCAGTACTCATGCTCATTACATGCCTGATGATCTTCATTTCTTCAGCACATAGTTTATTCCTTCTTGTCATAGAGTGACAATGAACAGTGAGAATTTGTCATGGACAATTGGCAGATAAGTGATTTCAGGCCTCTGAGCATCTCTGTGATAATCTTACTCCTAGAAGTATTGATATAAATTAAAGTATCAAATCAGTGGAAAGTAAGTGGAAAAGTTTTAATCGAATAATAATCAAGGATGGACAACAGTAATAGTGCTGATACTACTGTGGTTTTGGTAGGAAATTATTCCAGGGAGGAGATCAGTTTCTAACAGGAAACAGCCCAAAGACTGTGAAGAACCAGGAAAGTTCACACTATTAAAAAGCTTAACCTGTCTCTCTGTTCCCCAAAGCCAGTGCTAAAAGCCTACCAAGATCATAAGCAGCCGGAATACATACAGGAACAGAACCGCATTCAGTTAATCACTTGTGGAATCCTTAAGCCATCAGCAAGTGTAGCAGAAAGGGGTTCTGTCAAATCTCTTACCCCACTGGAACCTCAAGATGTTATGGAAAAAAAGAAGGTACAGTGTAACGTTGAAGTACCTAAGTGAGCCTTTTAATTTAATTTTCGTTTCATTTGGCATTGCTAATATGCTTTTAGCTCCTGAGAATAATAGCAAAATCATTTTCTAAAAGATTGCATATGGGTTTGGGAAATATATCTCTCAGTTCTTCCCATTTGAAGAAAGCTTCAAATGGGACACAGTAAAGGAAAATCATCAAGGAAGCTTTCAGCATCTGTGTTGTCTGACTTTCTCCATGTTATAAGACGTCACTGTATACTGAATGTTATATAATTATTTTCCTTTTTTTCATCATTTTTTACCAAAAACAAACATCTTTGAAGACCTCAATGAGAAGCAATAAAATAGACTGAGTCAGCTCAAAAGGATGTTTGTAGCTGGTAAGAATTGTACAATGGTAAAGCTGTCTTCCAGAACATAAATGAATAGTATCTTAGGAGAGAAACCATTAGAGCTTGGCTTTGAAAGATTATCTTTAAGTAATTAAAGAAAGAAACAGAAAATGTGGAAGAAAATGTGAAGGGCACACCTGCAGTAAAGATGCCAAGACAGCCAAGATTTCTCTGGCCTTTTGATGAAAGGATCCTTTAATGCTCATCAAATATTTGAATGCTAGTTTGGTTCCATGTATTGGGCTGCAGTGCTATAAATGCACAGTTGAGGACTAGCTCTGTCCTTTTAGGATTTCAGAGTCCGGAGGTGGACAAAACTCAACCCCAGTCGGGTGTAGTAATAACTGTCACTGATCAGTTAAGGTATAAAATGGTGAAGAACTGAATGAAATGGACCCTTACATCTGGTGGCCAGAGGGACAGTTAACAGAGGAAGAACCACCCGTGGAATTTCAGTACACTCAGTAGATAAGGCAGGAGAGATGGGGCTTAAAGAGAAGCCAGGTGGACAGAAGCTTACTATAGATTTGGGTAAAATCGTCCTGAGAGACTGAAATCAGGCCCACTTTGGTGACCCTTTTCCTACCAGAGACAAGGTGATGATCTTTGAAGGTTGGGTCAGATGTCCTCAAATGAGGTTGGTCACCTCCCCTGCAGGAGGAAAGAATGTGAGCCATACTTCCCTAATGTTTTGGAGGATGAACAAAAGAGTGTGATTGGCACGGAAAGTATAGACAGTAGAGCCCTAATGTGTGAGCAGGGTGAGGGTAGGACGTAGCCTTGCTGATTCCGGTGAGGACCACGAGCCAGGAGGGTCTGCATCTCCTGTGAGCAGCATAGAAATACAGAGTCACAGATTGCACCCCAGCAGGACTGAGGCAGAATCTGCATTTTGACAAGTCCCCAAGGAATTCACATGCACTTTTAAGTTTCAGGACACTGATCTACAGAACAGATAATCATTAGTTAATAAAATGAATGCTTCTGTAAGGCCATCGTCTGTAATTCCCCATGCTCATTGTATGCACCCATATTCACAGAGAAGTAGAGTTTATCATGAGTTCTGCTAATAACTGTCCAGGATTTCGCTCACTGAAAAGCAGCAAGGTGATGAGAAGAGCTGAGGAGCTGAGAGGAGAGACCACAGAGGACAGATGCTGAGCAACTGAGCGCAGAGAGAGCTCCCGTGAACACCAGAGAGCTCATAGTAGAGGGCTGTAAGGAGCTAACAGAGAGCGGGCCGTGGGCCCTGACAAGGGTTTGGGCCTCGGGTGGGGAGCACTAAGAAGGGATGTCACTCCCAAGCAACAGTTTGAAATTTTTCAGTTTCAAAATGCTTGTCCTTTTAAAATACTATTTTATCCCTCCCTTTGCACAAAAACTCATGTTTTAAACATTGGTTTTGTTCAGGTCCAGCAGGCCTCTCTTGAGGTGTTCTCACCTTCTCCTCCTAAACTGCCCCGCACGGGTATTGGAAGAAGAGGCCTCTTTGGGACGGGGTCTTCCACCTACCCTAAGTACACTTTCCAGGACCGGGAAGAAGTCGTGAAAGCCAACATTCGTGATCCTTTGCAAATCATTAAAATAGTCCGTGAAAATGAAACGCTTGGATTTCTTTATATGATCTCTGCAGTGCCAAAGTCTTCTATTGAGTACGATACCTATAATCTAAAGTGAGTTCTCATTTACAAAGCAATTTATTTAAAACTGAAAATTCCAAATATGATTGCAAATATTATCCATAGTCTTTAATTTATTTTTAAAAATTTTTATTAGTATATGCTTGTAGTACATGTTTGTGATCATCTTAGAGGATTTGTACCTGTAATGAACATATCTTCATTCTTTTTATACCTGTCCCTTCCTCCACCTTGTCTTTCTGTCTCTGAATCTTTGTCAGTATCATCCATAATTAATTTCATAGTAAAATTAACTAGGACCAAAATAATTTCATCATCCAATGATAAATGAATCCTAATTACAATTATTTTAATTATTTCCAAATTTATCTATTGATAAAAATGACATATTCTTCGGGGCAGTATGCTGTCCTTTTCATGTATTTATATGTTATATCATCTATTTTTAATCAGTATTACAAACATTTTGTGATTGCTGAGGAAAAATGGCAATCTGTAAGAAGTAGGTGGTGTGCAATTTGTTTTACATATCATTTCAGCTTTCTTCTACAGAGCAGACAAGATTTTTAATAAAATGAGCCTGACAACATAGATGATTCAGACTTACACACATGCATTGCTTGGCACACAGTGATCATTAACGTAATTCGAAAAAACCACACTCTTGTGAGTCTGTGAGTTGCTTCAAATTTTAGCACCACAGACAACAGTGATTAGAGGACCTGGAGATCATATTGACTTTTTCGCTGTTGCTTAGTTGGCTGACAACATGTGCTAGACAAGTCTTTGCACGATAATGATGATAGATTTACTTTGCCACCAAATTCTTTGAGCTACATTTTCCAAGCTCCACACTTACTCTTCCTTATTCAGCGCTGTATTTTGATTATGCCAAATGATGCTGAAGATAGCTGTCTGTTAGAGAGAGGGAGAAGAACTCAAGTGTAAACTGATAGATTCATTGTAAACCCAAAAGACCTTAATAGGACTGTGAATCATAGGAAGAACATTGATGCTGATGGAAATCAGTCACTTAGCAACATTATGGAGGAACTGTTTTTTAAGGTGCTAGAGATACGTAAGTGAACCAACCAGACCAGATTCTCTGCCTTTGTGGAGTTTACAGCCCAACAGGGGAAACCAGTAGTAAGCACAAGATATGAATAAATTATCTAACTGTTAAAAGGTGTAAGTATTACAGAAAAATAGAGTAGGGTAAAGGAGATGGGGAGTCCAGGGTGAGAAATTGTGAATTAACTGGGACGGTTAGTGGGGCCTCAGTGAGATGCTGGTATTTGGACAAGGACTAGGAGGAGGAGTGAGTTCTCTGTTGGTACAGGGGTGAGCATTCTGGGACGCAGATACCCGGAGGCAGGAGTGTGTCGAGCAGGTTCAAGGAGCTAAGAACAGTAGAGTGAATGAGAGATGGGCGCAAGTCATGCAGGGGCTTTTTGACCCCTGCAAGAATTCTACTCCGAGAAAAAAAAAATGGAGAATCATTGAAGGATTTCCAGTAGAGGAGTGTCTTGGTCTGAGTCCCATATTGAAAAGGAATACTCCGGCTACTGTGCATAGAATAATAGACTTCAGAGGTGCAGGCATTGAAGCAGGAGGAACAATTAAATCCTTTTAATATTCTGGTGAGAAATGGACCAGGTGATAGCAGTGAGGTGGTGGGGAAATAGGTCTGGTTCTGGAATTGTGAAAAGAAAGCCCATCAGATGCTTTTATTATGGGCTGCATGTAGGGTGGACAACCAGAGAAGAGACCAGGATAGCATTGGAGACCTGTTTATCTGCACAAGAGGAACAGCAGAGTCACTGTTAACTGAGACACAAAACACTGGGTAGTCCAAGATTACAAGGGAAGATAAGCGCTTGTGTTTGGACATACTAATTTTGAGGTGCCACAGGGAGAAAGAAATGGAGTATGGATGAAAAAGAACTGGGATTGAGAGATATTTTTTTTAAGATGAGAAAAATGAATAGATTTTTTCAAGGAGGAAGAATTGATATAGAAGTTAAAGCTCTTTTCTATAAAATGCTTTAAAAATAATGTTAGTATTGCCATTTCCACATACTTGTGTGTGTGTGTGTGTGTGTGTGTCTGTGTGTGTGTGTGTGTGTGTGAGAGAGAGAGAGAGAGAGAGAGAGAGAGAGAGAGAGAGAGAGAGAGAGAGAGAGAGAAGAGACAGAGACAGAGACAGAGACAGAGACAGAGAGACAGGGTCTCATTGTATAGTTCAGGCTGGCCTCGAACTCTTGGGCTATCCTCCCACCTCAGCCTCCCGATGGCTTGGTTACAGGCATGCACCCCTACACCTGGCATTACCTTGTTATTTTTTTTATGAAAAAAAGTTCTTTATCAGTTTTTGAAGAGGAAGTTAAAACTCTTAGGTGGAGAAGAGTGCAAAAGTAGTTTATTTCCTGATCTTAAAATTATACTTCTTGCTTCCTATGTGAAAAATGTTTTACAGTTTTGTCTCTCAGAATTATGGAATAACCCAAATATCAAGGAACGCTGTGTATGATGTTTAATCCTCATAGTGAAAAGAGTCAAACTTGCCAAACATAACGTTGACTCCTTTTTACCAGTAGATAATTAAGTGCTGAATCAGAAACTTAAAGTGTGTTTGATCAAATTCTGGTGGTTTATTGAATTTCTAATTTAATGAGCACATTTGTTAGGGGAATTGCTTTGATTTTCTACTTATTTGTTCATTTATTTTTGGATCAATAGGAATGATGTCTGATTAATATATGCAAAGTCTCCTTTAAGAAGGTACTGTTGAAATTATACTTTGTTATCACTATATTTTTTGCTTTTGATGTAAAATTTTCCTTCCTAACTTGAATTCCAATTATTATAAATTTATGTGTGAAGATTTGAGTGCTATGTAGATGGAAGCAGCTAAATTGGAAGTTAAAATGAATAAGTACTAGGTCAATAAGATGAGGACATGTTATACCAAATGCTTTTTAAGGTTAATGTTATAAAATAACTATAATGTCTTTGAATAATTTCTAAGTATAGTAAAATATATTCAAATGTGTAGCATTAAAATAGTTATCTCTGAGTGAGAAAATCGCTCCATTTATTGGATTTCTTCTACAGAATCAGTTTAGTGATGTGTATTAGGTATCAACAGTTCAGTCACAAGTAAGCTGCAAAGAGGTGTCTAATGTGTTGGTTTATCAGCCTGGTAAGTACACAGCTATGTGGTGTCAGTCGTCTTGCCTGGTGCTGGGCCATAATGGGTCACACATTCTGGGTCAGGTCTAGGGCAAGCGAGATGAACACAGTAAAGATCAGGAACTAGGGAGATCGCAGGTGGTTTAGACAACAAAGAATTGCACTGACCAAGATGCAGTATGTCGATTTTGTTAGGACTTAGACCTTGAATATAAATGATAGTAACTGGTGGTAGGTCGGGTAGTGTGGAGAAAGGCTGTTGGCCAGAGAGCTGGGTCACATACCCGCTCTGTAAGAAGACACCAAAGCAAGTCATCGCATTTCACATGTCACAACAATGATGATTTATTGGTGTTTACTCCATTCTAGATGTTCCAAGGCATTTGCATACATTTAATGCTCAGAATAATACCGTAAGATAGAGACAATTATCTCTATTTTATAAATGAAGCCCAAACTGGTTAAGTAATTTCCCCCATTCACACAGTAAAGTGTGATGTAAATGGCAGTCCAGCTGCAGAAGCTGGCCTCTTCATCTGTATGTACTACGTACATTTCAAGATGACAAAGAGTGCTCATGAGATGCCCCTCAGACCGAGAGTCCGCTACCGAAGCATGTCTTCACTATCAACCAAGTGCAATGAAGTTACATCAATTCAAAATCTAGAACAATAATCTGTCACTGCTAAGGCTACTGAATGTTTCCAGAACAAATGTGAAAAATGCAAAATAATGCTTTCCATTAAAGAATTAAACAGAGGTGAAACTACAGAAATCATTAAAAATTACTCTTCCCCAGTGCAAAAACAAAAAATAGCATGTGATTTCTGAAGCACCTCTGAGAAGGTATACCCAGAACAAAATGAGATGTAAGTTTTTGGCAAAATTATCATATTAACTGATGCTATGGGCATCAAAATAAAGTGTCTTGGCAGATGCTTTTTCTAACCAACCTCAGATGTACAATGCAAAACTCAGTGTGTGCCATCCACGATGTATATGTGAAAGGTTCTTGACGTCTAATGTCCCAATTATCATTAAAAACTTGTGCTTTAGGAGTTTTTTCCATTTACGTGTTAGCTGTGTTTTACACTGGAAAAGGTGCAAGGGCATCAGTAGTGTCTGAGCACTTAATTGTGTGTACAGCAAGAGAGGCTTTGGTCTCTCCAAGAGAACACACACCCATCAGTCTACCTCCAGGTAGGGCGGATGAGAGTGAAAATGGTGAATCACATCAAATTAAGGCCATTGCCATGTCATTTTCCACTGTCATACAGAGAAGAGAGGAAGTAGATTTTGTTTCTATCATAGAATATGGAGGCTGAGGATACTCATGCTCATAAGTTTTGAAGTGAATAGTAAGATTTAAAAGATTTCATGAAGCTACTTATACCAGTAAAGACCATTTCTGTGATTTTAGGAGTCCTGCTTAATGGGTAGGCTTTAGAGATGTGTTTTGACCACCCCTTCAGTTTCAAAATACTTTTAAAGTAAGAATACAACTGGAATTGAAGTTCACTAAATCCTAATGCAAATAACAAATGTTCCTTATTCTTTCCAGGGTTTGATGATTTTAGGGATTGAGGGAAATAACTGATATGTATTAGTGAGAATGTCTCTCCCTACCTTCTATTTAAATGCAGGAATGTAAGGAAATACTTTTTAATCCAAATGCAACCAGAGATGCTAAGAACTTTTTTTGTTGCCATCTCCTAAGTAGAAGCTCTCAGCTTTAAAGCATAATGCACTTGTCAACTGAAGCATCTGGCTCACTTCTAAAAGCAGACATGAAGGAAATGATCAAGAAATTCTTGATTTACAAATTGTACAGAGATCCAGAA